GTCCGGTCAGCGAAGCACATCCTTAAGGTGATATCATTTTGTTGTATACTTGAACATCTATTCCTGTTTAGATAATGCTTTTCTGCATTTTTCTTTCTATTGTCAAGTTTTTATTTGGTAATGGTTATTACCCCTCATGCCATATATTTCTTGTTATGCAGGATGTTTTGAGAGATACAGAAGATCATGATCTTGGACCAGCAATCTCACATTTCTTGAACTGTTTCTTTGGAAGTTGCCAAGCTGTTGGTGCAAAATTAACTTCTAGTCTACAGTCCAAAAACCAAAAGAAAGTATGTTTAATTTAGATGAATTTTCCATCCCGAGTTACTTTAATATAAGTTGTTTCATATGAGTTATTTCACTAAATGCTACTCTCAGGGCCCTTTGTAGTATAGAATGTTTAGTGTGTAAATGAACAAAATCTATTTAAGCTAGAGATTACATTGTCTAAGGGGAACTGCACTATGAAAACAGTTGTTTACAGTTCTTGTAAATCAGTTTTGCACTTGTATCCTATGGTGATGGTAAATCTAGTCTGGCATAGACTGCTTGGGGTCTGTATTTATTTTCAAAATATTTGCAGGAGCAAGCAAGTCATCAATCTTCAGGCAAGACTTCGAGGGAACATGCCAGATGGAAGGGCAAAGCATCTGCTAGGAAGAATATTTCCTCTTATATGAATGTTAGCTCAGAAACTCTTTGGTCTGACATTCAGAAATTTGCAAAACTGAAATATCAGGTATTGATTTGTATTATTTTGTATGGATATCCTATAAGGTAGCTAGATCATCTCATCTGTGCTGAAGGGATGCTATGTATTATGAATGAATGCTTATCAGCACATCTGTCTATTAGTGCCACAAGGAAACAAGATGTGTGAATCTGGGTTTTGTTGGATCTATGTATATTGTACATTTGAGTACATTAGTTTGTATGATTTTGGATTTTCCTTTCTGTAGTTTGAGTTGCCAGAGGATGCTAGATTACGAGTGAAGAAAGTTTCTGTCTTGCGCAATCTATGTCAAAAGGTAATCATGAGTTCATTCAATTTGCCATTTCTTATTTGACTCACATCTGTCCTTGTTATTTGTTGATGATTGATTGCTTTTATCCCCTTTTTTGTTCTATGTAAAAAGCACCTTCAGAATTTTCTTATTTGGTTACATTGCTGGTGCATGCTTTGAAGCATTTCTTAGGAGATGCATTTTGTGTCAGGAGCAAACTGCATTATATTCCTAGTGGTAGTTTCTATGATTATGTATCTCTTTTATTAATGGTCTTAGACTTTAGGTGGTTCTAGCTTAGACTACCTTGCACAACCTTTATAAACCTTCCACCCTTAATTGTGTTACATGTGCTGAGTAATTTACACTGCAGCTGTGTATTATCTCCTGATAAAATAAAGCTAAATGTACTGATTTGTCCACTGCTTACATTAATGTGGTTCTCTATTCAGGTGGGCATAACTATTGCTGCTCGCAAGTATGACTTTAACACTGCAACACCTTTTCAAACATCAGATATCTTGAATCTCCAACCTGTAGTGAAGCATTCAGTTCCTGTATGTTCAGAAGCTAAAGATCTTGTAGAGATGGGAAAGGTCCAATTAGCTGAAGTAAGCACTATATTCCTTATTTACTATAAAAATTTTGAAAAAATTTTCTCTAGAAAAGAGGAAAATTGAGGGTCAAATTGTTCTGCTATTGCTCATAGTTTAATGGTTGAATTGGATTGGATAATTATGTAGAATGTTTGGGATGTGTAATATTTGTGACAATTTTGAGAAACTCGTGTTTCAATCTTTTTCTTAGGGCATGCTTACTGAAGCGTACACAATGTTTTCAGAGGCATTTTCAATACTTCAACAGGTAAGTTAAGCTATTTTCTTGGTTTCCATGTATTAAGAATATTTAAATATCAGCTTTTCATGATCTTCTCCTGAATTAATTTCAGGTTACTGGGCCAATGCATCGGGAGGTTGCCAATTGCTGTAGGTAGTTATCACAACTCAAACATTTTACTGATTTTTTTTCAAGTCATCTTTGTATCTTTCATATATATAGTACTCAAGGTTTTGTACATTTTGCTTTATATATTTGATCAAACCAATAACATATTTCTGCACCTCCAATCTTTGTTTTAATAGTTTTCACTTCCATATTCAGGTATCTCGCTATGGTTTTGTACCATGCAGGAGATATGGCTGGGGCCATAATGCAACAGCACAAAGAACTAATTATAAATGAACGTTGCTTGGGTTTGGACCACCCTGATACTGCTCATAGGCATGATTTCTTTGCTCTATGTTTTTCATAGTGTCTTAACAATCTGAATATATCTCGATTGCTATGATTACGGTAGAAGTGTTATGAATTTTGTTTATAGAAACTTGTTACCCTTTTCATAGGTCTTAATTCCACTTAATTTGCAATCCTCCTGCTGCAGTTATGGCAATATGGCTCTTTTCTACCATGGCCTCAACCAAACAGAGCTAGCATTACGGCACATGTCCAGGGCATTGCTCTTGCTAAGCCTATCTTCTGGCCCAGATCATCCTGATGTTGCTGCAACTTTCATAAATGTTGCAATGATGTATCAAGATATTGGAAAGATGAACACTGCACTTCGTTATCTGCAAGAGGCCTTGAAAAAGAATGAAAGGCTTCTGGGCGAGGAACATATTCAAACAGCTGTATGCTACCATGCCCTTGCAATTGCATTCAATTGTATGGGTGCCTTCAAACTATCTCACCAGGCATGTGTTACTGGAAGAATAATGTTTTGTCTTACCTTCCAATACGATTCATTGAACTAATTAAAGCTTTTGGTGCACACAGCATGAAAAGAAAACCTATGATATTCTCGTAAAACAGCTAGGTGAGGAGGACTCGAGAACAAGAGACTCCCAGAATTGGATGAAGACATTTAAGATGCGTGAACTTCAGGTAAGTGAATGGTTTTGCAATTACAGTGTGATATCAATCTATTGTAGAGTCTGATAAAGAGGAAAACATTTTTAAAGGGTAATTTTAAGTCCATATTTGTATTTGTCCTTTGTGGTTTCTGAAGTTACTGATTTGGAATTTTCAGATGAATGCTCAAAAGCAGAAGGGCCAAGCTTTAAATGCAGCTTCTGCTCAAAAGGCTATTGATATCTTGAAGGTACTTCAATTACCCTGCTCATTTCTTCCCTCCCTTTCACATTGTCAGTTCTCTTAGGCAGCTGCTATCAGAAATTATTTTGGTTTCATTTGATTGATGCTTTGGTTGTTTGCTCTTTATTCTTTGGTTTTCTTTTTCTTTTTTGTTTTTTGCTCTCTCATTCCTTTCCCTTTTTTGCATAAAAGGCTAAAAGCAAAATGGAACATCAACCAAATGGACCCTTAAAAGTCATCTCTAGCTTTTGAGCATTTTTTTTTGGGTTGCTCTGGGTTCCTTTTTCAGCCCAAAACCAAAAAAAAAAAGAAGGAAAACTATTAAGTAGATGCAGTTATGTGTTATTTCTTGCTATGGTTAGCCATCCGACATTCTCCAATAGAGTACAGGTTGTCAACCTTTTTGTTTACCTGATTTATGAGTTGGAATGACAGGCCCATCCAGATTTGATACATGCATTCCAAGCTGCTGCTGCAGCTGGAGGATCAGCGAGTTCCAGTGCTTCTTTCAACAAGTCCCTTAATGCGGCAATGATTGGTGAGACTCTACCGCGAGGACGGGGATTTGATGAAAGAGCAGCTCGTGCAGCGGCAGAAGTAAGGAAGAAAGCTGCTGCTAGGGGTCTTGCGACTCGCTCACATGGGATACCAGTCCAAGCTGTGCCACCACTAACTCAGCTCCTTAACATGATCAACTTGGGGGCAGCTCCAGAGGCAGGTGATGGTGAGGAAGCTGGAGAAAAGAGGGAAGCAAATGGCCATCATCCAAATGGACTAGTTGATGCCAAAAATGATACAGCAACATCGAACGAAGGAGAACAAGCGCCGGTTGGATTAGGCACAGGCCTGGCATCATTGGATTCGAAGAAACAGAAAACAAAACCAAAAGTCACGTCTTGAGATTTCGACGGGCTGATTGTCAATGCGTAACTTGATGAATTTCAGGAACAATTGCTACGTAGTGGGTTTGAGTGGTGAATGGGTACTCAACATGCAAGTCGGGAGAGTAGAATTGCCAGCAAGAATTCAATTTTTTTTCCCAATAATCTGGCTCACAGATATCAGCTTGCTGGTAAGCATCTGATGCAAAATAGGTATTTATAGAATTGTCAAAGAGTCGGTTCTTAGTTTTGTACTGGGCATGATTTGAAGGTAGACTGGTATAAGTGTTTGGTATTGTAGTGTAAAGGGTTAATAAATGGCCCTCCTGAAATGAGCTGTCCTCACAATAATTTGATACTTAAATTTTAGGCTAGTTATTAATAGCAATTTTGTTTTTGTTTTGGGATTGTGGTGCTCTTGGAACTAGTATTTTTTGATAAAAAGATTATTATTCACTATATTTATACTTGCTTTTCAAAGTAAGGTGTAGAAGAAAATTTAGGAGTATGTTTGGTTTAGTTTTTTTTGTTTAAGTATAAAAGTTGTTATGAAGTTTTTGTGGAAACTAATAGTTTTTAAATTAAGTGAAAACTGTTTAGTAAGCAGTTTGGGAATAATAAATTGATTGTTAAAATTTTCTTTTGTTAAAATTATCATAAAAGTTATTGTATATCATCTTTATAATTAAACAGAATAGTTTTCAAACTTTGTATAATAATAATAATAATATTAGATTTTTATTGATTTAGTAATTCATCAAAATGTTGAAGGGAAGTAATAAAAGACAAGTCCACAAAAGCAGAAGAGCCCCGGGGCCTAGTATCGAAGTTGGAGCATGAAAAGCAGACCATAATCCTAACCTAGGCTTCTTCTTTTGTTGCCCCACCGTACCATTCATACACACAAAACAAAATATAGAATAAATGTATTAAAAAATTAAATTTAGCCATAACATATATGTTATACCTAAATAAAAATTATATACACAATAATATCACTATTGGCCTCAATAAGATGATGGATCAATCTCATCTGTGAGTGAAAAAATTACATAACCTTACAAAAAGTTAATGCATTCTAAAATTTTCTCGTACAAAGCAGGCAGCATATGACTCATTACTAATAAATTCTATAAATAATGCAAGGCAAGTCATTCTTCAGCCAGATGCCCCAGCAGCAGCAGCACCACGCTTCTCATCTTCACCTTGTTCTTCTCTAGCAAATTCTTCTATTAGTTCACGCTGTCTTGGGGTCAGATTCCTGTACATTGCTTCATATGTGAGAAGATGCTCAAGAGCACATTGGGCTCCCTCATAAATATATAAATATATTACAACCATTCACAACAACATATTTAGACACATTTGGCCTCTACAACACTTACTTTGGGATGCTGACATTGAAATGCACATATTGATCACCAAATGAGTAAGAGTTCCTTGTTTTAATCCCTGTCAAAAACATCCAAATTTTCTGTCACCTCAACGTGCCAGATAATACAAACAAGGAAGAAAATGTAAAGAGGAAGAGGAATTCAAAAAACGTGATTATAAAACATGACCAATAAATTCCATATTCTAAAAATATGACAGAGTTGTCTAGAATTCAAGTTAAATTAGACTCTTTTGTTCTTGTTGACATCTACTCTTATTCCCACATCGCTGAGGCCAATCTCATTACCGATGGTAACCAAGTACTTAACATATAAACAGAAAGAGACAACAAAAAGGAATGTTCACCATATACACACCACATAGACCAACAAAACAAGTATCTCTCTCTAGCCTTTCTCACCTTTATTTTTCAGAACTACCTTCTGCCCAGGTTGAGTGCCAGGGCGGACCTGCAAATAGGAAACCATATAAATTCACAATTTTAGTGACAAAATAAGCATTCACTTCAACTGCAAGAAATAATCAAAGGTCAGTTTCTTATGTTCTACATCAATCATACAAAATTTCCAACAAACCTTGAGCACAACATCACCAGTAAGAGTTGGGACCTGGATGGTTCCTCCCAAGATTGCCTGCAAAAACCAATCAAAGTAACTCCGGTAAACCCGATAAAAGGGCCAGTCTCAATAGTTTGTTTGAAAATATAAAATTTCACATTTACCTGATAAACACTCAAAACTGCATCTACGTGAATGTGGGCACCTTCTCTACGAAAAACTGGGTCTTGGCGGACCTGCAAACAATAACATAATTAATTGAGATAATGAAAAATTTACCTTTAAGCAATGATGAAGTATAGACACTAGGCCTTTAATAAGTGCGACGGTAAAGACCAAGAATAGTCAACAAACAAAGAGCAAGGTCAATTTGGCCAAAGTGTAAACGGTGGGACCATAGGCAATTTTGAAAGAATTCAGCAAACTAAGGTACATAAAAAAAAACAGTATTCATCTATTAGATTAAGTTCCAAAGTACAAACGATATACAACAGCAATGAGGGCCATCAAGTGTAGATTAATTTGAATCCATAATTTGCTATCACAACTAACTATTTCCACTTAAACAACCCGCCTGAAGCACAGAGCATTTTCCACCATTAAATCTTTGAATACTAACCCCTATTAGCACCAACACCACCACATATTCACTACTTCACCAGGGCTTACTATTGCTTTGCCACACTCATTGTCACTGATCTTCTCAGTCAACATCAAAGCATAATTCTAAAATTCTTGTCCCTGCCACTGCTTCCTTTAGCAGAACACCACTTTTTTGTAAGTATTATCCTGGCCACGAGCCTACCATCTTTGCCAACTTCACCCACCATTCAACATTGTTTAGATAAACTTAGAAAAACACTCATCCAAAAACTTAACATCTTCTACTCAGTTTTCAAACAAGTATATATTGTGGTTATGAATAAATTTTCACAAGTAAAAGGCTATAAATTTACAATTATTTCATTTCCTTGAAAGGTATGCAAACTGTCAAGATATCAAACAAGCCCGGAATAAGTTACCTTGATGGTAACATAAAGATCCCCAGGATGAGTTCTATCGGGATCGGCTCCCCCACTTCCATAAACCTTCAATGTCTCATTGTTATCCACTCCTGAAGATGCAACACAACTTTGAGTCAACCATTTGATAAAAACAATACTAGAAGACCATGCCTTTGATACTGAATACAAATTTGGAGTCGATCACTGAAAGGGGATCACACTAACATCAATTTGTTGTTTGTAGTTCTGATGTTGAAAATGAAAATGTGATTGTTAATGCACTGTTATAGTCAAAAAACATTGAGAAGATGAATAAATCATGAAGAAAGATATCAGTAACATTACTTTCTCTAGTTCCCAACTCTACAGTCAAAAATGAGAAATGATAAATCTCATAGGAGATAAGAAAACAATTTAAAAAAATTATCGAAGGCAACATGGATAAGCTTATAGTTTGTTTCACTACTCAATATATAGAAGTTTCAATGCCTTAGTTTTAGTTTCAGTTTTAAACACGCACACACATAGTAAGTAGAACAAGAGACTACAGATCCATGATACAATGCAGGCCATAACAGGTTAAACCATTAGCAAAGCAACCACCAAATAGACCTTTAACTTTGCTACATACCTGGCATTATGTCCAATTTGACTGTTTTTGGTCCTCTCACTAACCTAGCTCCATTGCATGACCTGCAAAGCCTCTGGTGCCAGCAAACAATAAAGGATCTTAAATGACAGTTGTGAAAGAAAATTCAAACTGGAAGAAGCTAAAATCATACAACATCAATTCGTCATGATTAATGCATGAATTAATAAACAACATTAGTTGCACACAAAGCATTCATCCACAGAAACGAAAAAGAAATCATCACAAAATCCACATTGAGAAAAATAGTTACCACTGTTTAATCATGAAAAAAACCATCATGCTAAAAGAACTCCAATAAAAACAACATAAAGCAACGACAACAAACTGAACATGACCAAGCTAGACGAGATTCATCAAATATGAGATAATGTGGATGTATAACTTACAGATACAAACTGGCCAGTTCCACTACAATGAGGACAAGTAGAACGAATACTCATAAAGCCCTTGCTGATAGATATCTAAGACAGCAGCAAAACTATAAGTTAACAAGGAAATAAATTAAGTCCCCTCCATCATTATCCATTAAACTAACCATGCCTGAGCCTCCACAATGCCGGCATCTTTCAGGTTTCACACCAGGAGGGACACCTTCTCCACCTGAAAAAATGGAGAAAATAACTTGTCCAAATCAAAACAAACTTATTAACTAAGGCTCTATTTGGTTGATGCTTTTCCTACTTGCTTTTTGCTTCTTGGAAAGTTGGTTTATACAAAGTCATAAAAAGTGCACAAATAATTAAAATGTAACACTAATTCTTACAAATTTAATCTATACAAAAGTAGAATTATGTATTTGGTTATCTAAAAAATTTAGATATTTTATCTATAATCTTTCAAAAGTATCTAATTCCAACATATTATTTTATATTTTCAAAAAAGTATTGTTTGAGAGGAAAGATAAAGCATACCACAAGCTTGACAAAGCATTGGAGATTGAAATGTCACTGTTTTGGTGCAACCCTGAACAGCTTCCATAAATGATAGTTCAACTGCAATCTAAGTATAGTAAATTCACATATGACAAGTCAGAAAAATAAAAATAGAGGAAAAAGCATAATCATTGACACAAAATTAGAAAATGATGGAAACCTTGATATCTTCACCGCCAATTTTATTTTTGAATATATCTTGAAAGTTGAATATCTGACCAATATGCATATAAAAATATCATATTAAAACCCAAAAAGTACCAAAAAACCGACAGATAATCACATTCATTCCTCCAACTACCACATTCACATGTAAGAAACAACAAATCACAATGCTCAATTGCTCATTGCTAACAACGAAGTGGTGAGCTCATACAAATACCAGTAAACCAAGCAGCAAGTATCAACCAAGTACAGGGCACCTAATAGATTGAGAAAACATCACATATATATATCCACTTGTCTACTGATCTTGACAGTAGCTGATCATCCAATGACACTACAGTTCATGAGAAGTCTTTTCATTATGAAATACTAATAGTACACTACCAAAATAGCACCTCCAACTAAAACCAAACAAAACAAAATACAAGATGGGCATCAGATGTCATCATATTTCCAATTTCTGGAATTCAAATTCTTGAAAACTAGAATTGAGCCCCATAAATAAGCAAGTAAGACTTAAGTTCAGTAATTAATAAAAAGAAACACATTACATCTTGAAAGTTGCTGAAATTGAATGGATTAAAATCTTCGTTAAAGCCGCTATTATTTTGTTGCTGCTCAAATGCATCATGGCCAACCTATAAAATTTTGTAGATCCTAAGTCAGCAAAACAAACTATTATGAGAAAAAAATAGCATAAATGTTCAGAAAATCGTAAATTTTACAAAACCTGATCATACTCTGCACGCTTGTTCTCATCTTTTAAAACCTACAATAGAACAAAAAAATTATTATTCTGCTAGGGATATTAACCATGCAAAGAGGCAATAATCTGCAATCAGATAAACTTACTTCATAGGCCTTGGAAACTTCTTGAAATTTTTTCTCAGCTTCAGGATCATCTTTATTTACATCCGGATGGAGTTTTTTTGCGAGCTGGAGAATAAAATTTGAATTAGAGATTTTTTGCGAGCTGCAGAATAAAATTTGAATTAGGGATGGATGAAAGTACAAACAAACTACAAAAAACTTACCCCAAAATAAGCTTTCTTTATTTCAGATGCACTCGCATTCTTGTTTACCCCAAGTATATCGTAATAATCCCTAGCAGACATGGCAGCTGAACCAAACCAAAACATAAGAATAAAGTTAGGAATCGAAATGAGAGAGAAATGAGAGCGAATAAGTTAAGAATCAAAACAAGACAGAGCAGGTATAATACCAGTGCCATGAATTGACCGTGTTGCATCGATGTTGACATTTAAAAGTCCCAAAAGCAAGCAGTTTCTAGTGTTAACTGCATTAAAAAACATTGGTTAACGGCATTAAAAAGCATGTAATTTAACACTCAAGAACAAACAAAACAAGAAAGGAGTCTCCGATTAGTTAGGAAGAAATGTTACAAAAGTACTGGAATTGCAGAGCCGACAACCGACAATCGACAATAGCCATGAGAAAGTGCAAAACGAAGAGAGAGATCAAAGTGCAAAACAAAACAGAGAAAGCGGAAAGGGGGGAGATGGTAAATTACCAAATTGGGGAGAGTGATTTCGAATAATGTTAACTGGATTGCAAAGTCCGTTAGTAAAACTCCGAACACCCCCAGCAATCAGAGTCTTATATATCTACAATTGAAAACAATATTATGAGACCAAAACCAAGAGCCAATTTCGTAATTATATGAGAAAACGAAAGATAAAATTAGAAAAAGAGGAGGTACAGAATAGGGCTGGAAAAGGTCGAACTGGGAGTGAGAGCGCCGGACCAAGCATTGCATAAGCCGAACGCTCTTTGAGCCAACCATTTGCGACCTTTCTCTTAAATTCTCTTCTTTCTTTTAGGGCTCCTATCTGTATTTGTATGTATATATCTCCCTCTCTCTGGCGGTAATAACTGAAGAGAAATCAAATCAAGTTAGGGCTTTGGGGACGTGAATAATAAACCCTGGCAAAACCCTAAAATTGATTGGATTGAAAGGCAGCTGGAAGCTTCTAGCGCTGTAGTTTATTGTGGTTTTAAGAATGGGGTAAACGAGAACCACCCAGAGGGCACAGAAAATGACCAATGGCGAGAGCCCAATTTTGTTGGAAATCAAGCACCTCTTTATACTGTCTGGGCCTTATAGAGTATTTCCTTCCTCCTACGGCCCATGAATAAGTTGGGCCAAAAAGAAAGCACAAGTTCTGAAGGTGTCTGCCACTGGATGATGGAATATTAGTCGAATATAACCTTTTAAAAGTAGGGCTGCAACTTGCAACTTGCAACTTGTCCTCGCAAATCACAGGGAGTTTTGGTTCCTATTTCCTAGTAGTAGGAAGGATGCCGATGAAGTCGGTGGATGCGACCGTTTCAAGCTTTGACAGCGTCTTTGAGAGATTCAGATCAGATGCGCCCAACAACAAAGCCAATCTCATCCTCTTCTTGGCCGATAAAGACCCTAGTACCTCTCTCAGTTGGTGTCCTGGTACTTTTTCCTCATTCACTACTTTTGCTTAATTTACATAAGAACAAATAAACTTGGGCCCATTTTCTTTGTGTTTAGACTGTGTGAGAGCTGAGCCTTTTATATACAAGAAGCTGGAAGCATCAGCAGATGATGTGGCAGTGCTGAGAGCTTATGTGGGTGACCGACCAACGTGGAGGAATCCGCAACACCCTTGGCGACTAGACTCGAGATTCAAGCTCACCGGAGTCCCAACTTTGGTTCGCTGGGATTGGGAGAATGATGCCATCAAAGCTCGTCTTGAGGACCATGAAGCCCACCTTGGACACAAAATCGATGCGCTTCTCTCCGCCTAATGAATCGGAAGCCACCTTTGATGTTTGGGTTAGCTTCAGAATAAATATTATTTTATCATCCCATCACCTTCTTTTTTTTACTTTCCTGCCTACCTGATGAAATATTGTGTTTTGCTATTATTATCTTTTCTATCATACAATTCGAATGCATATTTTACTAAAGTGATTTTCAGAATAATCAACAAGAAGTAAATTAAAATGGTACCAATCAGAGGGATAAAATAAAAATTTGCTAATTACATATATAATTTAGAACCACCTTGTTAGGGTAAATTAGATTAGATTCCCAAACCACTCTAAGCAGTCTGAATGAGATTTTTACAAAAAACTTTAAAGCAACCTGTCACAATTTTGACTATTCACAACATCTCTGGATATTCACTTTTGTACAAAGGAAACTAGAAAACTGTTTATAGCTCTCTACTATACCTCTCCCTTTCTCCTCCGCAGGTCAATTACCCCTATTCCTATCAGCGAAACAACCTATACTTAGCCTGAGTTGGTCAAGTAGCAAAATGGAAGTACACTAATAAATATTACCAAGCACATTGCATATGACCAATATAACCTCATATTTCAGACTTTGATAATGTAGGAGTCAACTTCAGAGCTATATCACCATAAGCTTCATCTTGTCGTACATCAACAAGTCCATAACTCTTCAAAACCTGTGTTTTGGCCATAAATGCAACATAGGCATTGTATGTAAACAGGATCAGGAACAAAAGGAGATTCAGCTTACATCTATTTTGAAATGCTTGTACTTACCAATGTCTCGAAGAACATTCGAGCGCATATCTTTCTTGTTTTTCCTTCTAAAATATTGTTCAAACTGAGATCTCCATGAAGATCTTCTGAAATTGGGGTTATAGGGGAATGTTTTTTCAAGTATTTAGCCACTGCCCTGCACAGCAGCAATATAACCAAATGAATCTGGTCATTGGTAAAGCATAAGGTAAATATTCTTCATTTAATTAAAAAAAAGGCAGTACCTTGTTCTCACAGATAAGGAACCCACCCCTTGGCTTCCTAGGGATTCTGCAGCAGAATGGAACAAGAAAATCTGTAAATCTTTGACATTTGTAACATTCTTATATTGAACAAGATGATAAAAAGACACCATGCACGTAGAAACTAAAAGCTTATTCAACTTACCTGTTGGTGTATTGCCATCTTCTTCCAAAAAATAAAGATCCTACAATACAATTCCTTGTGTCATAAGCATGAGCAAAGGAAGTAGATATAGGAAAAACAATTTTCTACTGCTAATTATATTACCACAGTATTCCGTAACCTCTATTATAAATGTTATTATAAACAGGCTTTTCTCCGTACGGAGTCAATTTTTTTTATCCAAACTCATGGTGATTGTCATTAGATATTAAGAACATCATGCACATGCCCTGATGTTTGAAGCACGGCCTCTTATGTTAAACTCCATAAACTTTCCTGAGTCTAATTTCGGGGCACCACACCCGAATGGACCATAAGAATAGGACAGACCCTGAACAATTACAAATAACTATGGAAGAAAGGAGACATCATTAAAACATTCAAGCAATAGACCATCACCACAACAATAATCTGACAAAAATGCAACATAGAAAAACATACTGCTTCAGAAGACCCATATTCAGGAATAGCTGAAAAGCTAGTGCTTCCCAGATGTGATTGCTCCTCCAATAATGTCATCGGTGTATCTATCCCAGATCCATGAGTTCCAGTAAACGTTGCAATATCTGGTGTGCTAGTTGCTCCTGCCTTAGGTGCCAACTCTGACTGTAAACTGTTAGTTGAGAAAGGAGAGTCATCTCTTCTAAACGGAGAAGGCATGGATCCAGCTGGGAAAGACCCAAATTCAGGAAAAACATTGTCAGTGGCATTACTTTCATTTTGTCGAAGACATTCAATTTCAGGAGCTGAAACAGGAGAAAATCCAACTCTTGGATCTGGGATAGAGGCATCATATTGCCCAATCCTCAGCTCCGAGATAGCATCAGTTGTAGGAGCAGTAGACTGTAGTAGTGTAGGTTCTGGGACAACTTCCTTTGGTACCACCAAATGGGATTTTGTAGAGATATACTCCCCTTTGAACATAATACATATATCAGCGCACAACCCTGCAGGTATGCAAGTTCCATGTTTCCATAAACTTATCTTTCGACATAAGAACCAAGCAGCAAGACAAAATAAGCAAGCAGGATGTACCAGTAAATGAAGGCTCTTCAAAACCCTGTCCCATTCTTCGACTGCAATTCAACTTCCATACACCCAAAGCAGAGGAAGGAAGTTTCCTTCTCTTTCGTACTAGATCGCTACAATCTTCAAGCGCCCTCTTCATCAACCTTTACATACATACATATCAACAATCAGTACCCAAAGAAAAAGGGAGAGAGAGAGAGAGAGAAGAAGAAGAAGAAAAACACTATATCAATCATGAAATCACCTATACCTATTCGGCAACACCAGTTTCTCATCAAAGAACCTCCTCCTTGGTTTTCGTCTCTGTCTTGGCTGTTGCACTGGTGGAGATGGTTGAATGACAAGCTGAGGTGATGCACACCCTGAGACAGATTCAAAACTAGGATCATGTAACTATATTACTTAAAAACTGAAAAGGACAATTCTTTAGGCATCAATCTAATTTTCACAATATGCACCCACCAAATGAAACCTCAGGAGGCCCTTTTGAAACAGCAGAAGTTGGTGGATCTGAGTGCTGCTGAAAAGGCATAGATGGCACACCAGAAGCTAACATGTTCAAACTTGGAGTATGGGCTTCCTTCTCGTTCAGGACTTCCTCCAAAGTACCTGTCATTTCAGTTGTATCATTTCTGTAATCTGAACACACCGGGGGGAGGTTTTCAGTGTAAAAGTCACGGGGAGCATCACGGATCGTTTCAATTTCTGGAAAATCTTGATAACTGTCATTGCTCGTAGACTCAAGTACTTGTGTCTGATTACTTGGACCTGGGTCCTGAAAAGCAGCACTTGTACTTGGCACTTCTATCTGATTGTGTTGACCAGGGTCTTGAGAACGCACATGACCATCCTCTGGAGGACCATGAAGTTTGCTATAATCGTAAAAAGGGAAAAAAATCATAAATGTGAACAAAGAAAAATATATTTCTCTTTAAAAAGATTGAAAATATAATCTTTAAAGATGAAATTAGGGACATACTCATTCATTTGTATGGACCCAGACTTTTGGAACACTTCCGGAAGTGATGCATCCCTCATGATATCCTGCACAATATATGTTTCTGTGGGTGAAAATGCAATTCTAGTACTTTGAAAGAAACAATAAATCAATGGTAAACTTCAATTTGCCAGGGAGAAATGTCTTACCTCGTCAAAAGTTATAGCAACATAAGGATCTCCTCCAATAGGAATTTGATCTATTGAAAATAGAAAGCAAAAGTTACATCATCGCCATTAGCATAGAAATATTGACACGAGAATATAGTTACTTTTTCAGAAAAATGGCAAATAGCAGTCTCATTCCATATAGTACCTGTAAGTGTTATGTCTTCTTGATTGCTGAGATGATTATCTGAAGCTCTGCGAATGAAAGTTCAGATATCATATTACTTATCAGCCAGAGGCCCCAAAAACTGTAAAAAAGAAAGAATGAATTTATCTAAAAACACTTACCCTTCGGTACACATATCACCATCCAATTCCATGGCATCCAGATCAAAGGTCTGCGGCAAAGTGATAGCTTGAACGGGTGCCTGTCTTGCATCCTCAGGCAAATCAACTTGAACGGAAGCAAAGACCTTTCTTAACCCAATCAGGACGATGTTGCAGTCATGGAAAAGATAATCAACTTTCTTAGAGTATATACGAACAACGCCCAAAAGAAGGTGGCCTGACATTCTCAGTGCAATGGGAACTTCTGGGAACATTATGAGATCTGCAGATTGACACGCATAGGATGAGGATGAGGATGAGGAAACGAAAATACAGCTAGAGTATACTATATGCAGCTTCAATTCACACGCATAAAGACTAAGAAAATAAATGCCAAATGGTTTATTGTATTTTTCGATCCAATTCCAAGCAAAGTTTATAAGAATTTCATTAATGATTGAACTATTCAAAATTGTTAAGCAAAATGTACAACCGACACATTATAGGTTAAAAAAATCAAGGACTTGAGGAAACCAATTGGACAGCCTCTGAAACAGGAGGGGAGGAGACGAAAGAGGCATCAAGCAAAAGAGTGGGCGAAACGTGATAGCAAGCAGTGGAAATAAACGGCGAATTTACAGTAAGAAGGAAAAGAGAGGAAGACAGACCAACGGTGGAAGGGATATCGGCGGCGGTGTAATGAGACTTCTTGAGGCGGTGCTGGAGATGAGCGGCGCACCACACTGTTCCAAGAGGGCCCTTACGAGCCAAAAATGTCTGCGAATAAAACATGTTCCCTTTCCCTTTCAAAAATTGCTATTCATCAGATTTCTGAGAGAGAAGAAACTTTATTTCCACTCGTTGCGTTGCAGCGGAGCAGAGGGATAGGGCTAAATTAAAATAACTAGTACTGCAAAACGGAAGAAATTATTCAAGATCCTATTTATATTTATACCCCAATATTCCTTTTGATTTTTATGTTGGGGAGCCGCGAGGGCGCGGGAAACAAGATTAGGCGCCAACTTAACATACCATGAAATCCCCTTTGCATTAGGACGAAAAACTCCTTCACTTGAACCGAGATTTACGGCTGTTGCCATTGGACTCCCGACTCCACCTCACATCACTAACTGCATACGTGGCGGTTAAATAAATGGTTGATTACCAATTTACCCACTTATTCATGGTTTTTACCTCATACTACATACCAGGACCGAGATGAGACGAAGAAACTTAGATTTTGTTGAGGCAATTTTACCCACAACACCGAACGAATGTAATACAAACTTAAATTTACAATAGTCACATTTTATGTATTCAATGTATCAAATTTATTTAATTTATTCAATTAATTATATTATTGTATTGATTAATATAATTTATTTATCAATTTATTCAATTGTGTTACTGTATCAATTCGTGTAAAATTTTATCATAATTTAAATAAATTTTATATAATTTTATAAATAAATTTTGTGATACGAGAATAATATGTGATAATGATGAGACAGTCTTTGATCTTTCACTCT